AAGGGAGGCTGGAAAACCAGGCTCTGCAGGAGCTGGCTCCTCTCACAAGCTGGGGTAAGACCCTGAGTCCTGGGGAATGTGTCCAGAATTCAGGCTAGGTTTATCCTGCCATGGGATGCCACCATTTGTATACCATTTATCGTGCTCTCCACTCACCGTCCCAATTCATCCTGCAATGTGACTGGCCCGGACTGCCTGCCACTCCAGGGCCACAACCCATTTCCCGTCTAGCTTCTCCCTGCTCCAGTACCTTGGCTCATACCCCTCCTCTGCCTTTATGCTCTTCCCCAGATTGTTTCATGGTTGCCTAGTTTTCATTCTTCATGGGTCACCTGAAGTGTCACCTCCTTGGGGAGGCCATCTAACCACTCTCTATGGCCCTGTCCCACGTTATTTTTGGCACTGTACTTTTGCCCCCTGCCCTAGCAAGTTGTTTGGTGTCTGCCCCACTGGAACAGAGGCTCTATGTGGGTAGGGGTCTGGTCAAGCTAGGGCTAGGCCTGTGCCTGAGGTCACCCAGGTCTGGTCTTGGCTGCTGCTGAGTGACAGAGAGAAGGAGGAGCTTGTGTCAGGAGCAGCTGGGGAGGCTTAGAAGCCCAAAGGGCGAGAGCTTGGCCAGCTGGAGTGCTCCTGAGAAACTGCCTCTGGGGCTCTGGGCAGGAGCTCCAGCTGACGCAGGCGAGGAGCGCCTGGTGCCAGGCGTCCAGTGCCACGTGCCCAGCCCGAGAGGTGCTTCTCAGCCTTGCTCCAGCTGCCCCAGACTGTACAGTTGCAGCTTCAGTTGGCCGCACAGCAAGCTCACTCCGAAGAAGTGGGGCCTGGCCAGCCTTGCACAGGAGGTCCCAGGAGTTTTCCCTTCCCCTTCCCCTTCCCCTGCTGGACCTTGCCCTCAGCAGAGCCCTCCTGCCTCCCTGAGTGCCCAGCCCTGTCTTCAGGGCCTGGTGGAGGCCCATCTGACAGCCTTCCCTGGGCCGCCCTCCTCCTGAGAGGTGAGGGGCCTCCTAGGGGCAGTCCCCTCTGTCTGTACCCGCCCCCTCTGACTGGGCTAGAGGGGATTTTCCTGTGACTCACTCTGCTGGCACTTCCTGTGGTCACCAGGGCAGGGGCTGGGGGGACCCAGTGGGGTGGCTCTGTGTTCTGGGGTCACTGGGGGAGGGGGACCGGGTGTCCCGCCCTCTGAAGGGATATGATTCCCTGAGGCTGCTTGCAGACCATATTTGGGAAACTTACTTTTCTTGAAGGCAGCCTGGGGATGGGGCCCTTGAGCCCCAGTGGACTGCAGGGCAGACCCCACCCCTGCCTCCTCCTCCCTGGGCTCTGGCCTCTGGACCTGCTTCAGCCCCCTCTGCCCTGTGCTGCCTTGGAGCCTAGGAGGTAGTCCAGTTTTCTTTTTTAGCATGTGTATTGTTTTAACCCCAAAACCAAGAAATGCTCATTAAATACAGATTGAAAAATTCTGAAAATCGGCAAGAGAAAACATCTCCCAATCTTCTCAAACATTACATTGTTATTCTTACCCTCTCCCTATTATTTAAGTTGGAGTGACATTTTATTGAGCGTAATTTACATTTCCATGCACTTGTAGCTGTAGTAATCCAGTGTGGAGGGCCCTGCAGGGCCCGTGATTCCAGGGCCTCTGCTGTGGTGCTCACCTCGGTGTTGGGTGACTCCGGTCCTCTCCGAGCCTGAGCTGCCTGCCTGGGCTGGCTTCTCCCCTGAGTATGCCCCTTTGGGCTCTCAAGTTTCTTGCCTCTGGCCCTTTCTGGGGCCAGGGGCTCTGAGGTGCTCTGAGAAAACGGGCTCCCCAAGGTCTGAGCATGCAGGCCTGGGGCCTGGAGCACAAGCAGCTATCCAGGCCTCCCGGGTAGGTCCCCTTGATGCTCAGCCCTCTTCCCTAATCCTCAGGGAGACAAAGCTCAGAGGGACACGTGCTGGCCCCAGATGCTGGTGTGGAATGAGGAAAGTGGATCCTCCTGGGCTTGGATGAGGCCTCACCCTCACTCTTCTCTGCCCCAGGGCCCAGCTCCCACTTCCTGTCAGCCTGAGGGGCGTGGCTCTTTCTTCTGCCTGGAATTCCAGCTCTTACTTGACTCCTTGCAGATGGACTCCTGGGGATGAGACTGGAGCCAGATGGGGAAGGTCACCCACCTAATGGGTGACCAGAACTCAGGTTCCATTCCCAAGTTAGGGGTCTAGACCAGGCTCTGTGTCCTCAGACTCCGGGAGACTCAGAGGAGGCTAACCAGAGCTGAGGCCTAGCTGGTGAGGCTGGAGCCCAGCTGGCCTGGTGCTGTCCTCTCCACAGACCTGGCTTCCGTGTGAGGCCTGAGCCTCTGCTGCACCCTGCCAAGCTCTCTGCTGCCCCAGAAGGCCAAAGCAACCCTGGCCTTCTCTCCCCCAGGCGCCTCCTTAGCTCCTTGGAACTGACCTTGGCCCTCCAGCCAGGGGGAACCTTCTGTGATATCTCTGGGCCCAGTCTGAGCCTGGCACCTGTGCAAGGGGAACAGAGGCCTCCTGATTCTGTATCACAGTGAGGTCTGGGTCTGCCGCTCGGTGTCACTAGTGCTGTGGCCTTCCGCCTCTATCCCTGTAGCCTTCCTCTCCTGTGCCTGGCTCACAGGGAGTGCATGTCCCTGCTCTGGGAGGGTTTGCTGACCAGTGGATCCCATAGCAGTGCTCTCGCTGGGTGGCTGTGCGAATCAAGTAAGGAGAATTACAGCAGCAAAGTGCAGTCTTGGAGTGTGCCGCCCTTCCTTGTTTCGCTTTCTTTTTCCCATTTATTTCTGACGTCTGTCTCATTCCTGTCCCTCTTCCAGAAGCACCCATGTAACGTCACGAGTCTGGATCTCCCTGGATAAGTGTCTGTGAAAAAAGACATAGGGTTGTTTCGTAGATATTTATAACATTTACGGTAACGGGTCGTAGGTTGTAGATTTCCATTTTGCTACTGTAACTCGGGAGGGTGTGGCTGACAGGCCTCTCCTGACACCTTGGCACCTGCTGGCACACAGAGTTGCAGATGTGGCCAGGTTTGCCGGCTGGAACCCCGAGCATTCCTTGTGACAGTCTTGGCCATCCGGTTTCCCCTCACGAAAGTCGCTCTTCATACTTTGTTGGTTTTCTGTTGGTGTTCTTGTCTTTCTCTTACTGATTAATAGGAGAACCTCCAGATTCTAAATTAATCACTCTCTCATCACTTGGTGTCCTGTCACCCTGTCTGTTTTTGTTGTCACCTTACGTTTTGTTTTGTGCTTTTGGGGTCTTTGATTATGAAGTTTTGTTTTATAATTTTTTCCCATCTCAAGGCCACAGAGAGATTTTCCCACAGTTTTTTCTTTTATTAGTTCTAGAGTTATACATTTCACATTTAGGTCTCTTACTGTCCTTTGTTTATAACATAGGGCAGTGTCCACGTGGGATTTTCTTCCTACGGAGTGAGTTTTCCTAGTATCATCTATGGTGCGTGCACCACAGGGCAGAGGCCCTTGCTGAGCTCTGTCCCGCCCTCTGGCCCCTCTGCCACTCCTGGTGTGGAGTTGTGCACATCCTCGCGGCTGAGGAGGAGAGCGCCCCTTGGTGTTTTATTTTCAGAATTAACCTGCCTATTTTTGGATCTCTGTTCCTCCATTTAATTCTCGAAGGATTCTTCTTCTTTGGTCAGATTCCTCAACAAAATAGTTTCTGCTGGCACTTTGATTGTAATTGTAATTTATTAAGTAAGTCTGGGCTAATCAGTTCTTTACAGCACTTAGTCATCCCCCCATGAACTTGGTACATGTTCTCCTTATTTCACGTTTCTCCTTGAGCCCTTTTTTTTTAATCCTCACCCAAGGACTTTTTTGCATTTATCTTCAGAGAGAGCGGGAGGGAGAAGGGGAGGAAGAGATAGAGAGAAACATCAATGTGAGAGAGACACATCGAGTGGTTGCCACCCACACCACCCCAACCAGGGCCGGGGTCGAACTGCAACCAAGGTACATGCCCTTAGCGGGAACTGAGCCCAGGACTCTCTGGTCCACGGGCCGACGCTCTAACCCCTGAGCCAAACCTGCCAGGGCTCTCCTTGAGCCCTTTGACAGAATGTAAACATTTCTTCCCCCTACCTCTCCTGCAGTCTTTACTTCATCAATTCCTGGATAACTTGTAGCTTTTGTTATCATGTGGTGTCTATTCTGTGACTTTTCATTCTCATCAGTTATGAATTCTTCTAGTGTGTTTGTATTTTTACACACATGATGACCGTTTTGTCCCTGTGTCCCCTCCCCATGCTGTCTGGTTTTTTCCTCTTGGCTGATTACACTGGCGGGGCAGTAGGACTGTTGAGTTGGAGCAGGGAGGGTGTGCATCCTGTTTTCTTCCCAGAGCATGGTGGCCATCATTGTCATTATCGCTGTTCTCCCCAGTGTTGGTCTAGGTTGCAGTATGACTTTGGGAGTGTTTTCTGTTCTTTTTAAATCCTCACCTGAGGATATTTTTTCATTTATCTTCAGATAGAGTGGAAGAGAGAGAGAGAGAGAGACAGAGACAGACAGACAGACACAGACATATCTATGTGAGAGAGACACATCGACTGATTGCCTCCCGCACGACCCCAACCAGGGATGGGGACTAAACTGCAACTGAGGTACGTGCCCTTGACCGAAATTGAACCTGCAACTCTCTGGTCCTCAGGCTGACGCTCTAGCCAACCACTTAGCCAAACCGGTCAGGGCGGGAGAGGTTTTTAAGAGTAGCTTGAGTGCCATCCCTAGAGTGTAGGTGGTGGCTGTGGTTGAGAGGATTTTGAGGTGCTATCCAGGCCCATTTGGAAAAAATGCAAGGATCAGCTGCACCTTTCTGTTGGGGGTCGTGGGGACAGAGACGCTGGGATTGTGCCAAACCCTGCTTAGTTCCTTTCCCAGTGCCAGTGCCAGACCTGGAGGGGGTGGGAGCTGGGCAGGCTGCTGAGCCCCCATGCACGTCCTCCCACCCTCATGCCTACCTGTATTCTCTCTCCCCAGAATGTCCTGGCCAAAGCCCTCTACGACAACGTGGCCGAGTCCCCAGATGAGCTCTCCTTCCGCAAGGGCGATATCATGACGGTGCTGGAGCGGGACACACAGGGCCTGGATGGCTGGTGGCTCTGCTCGCTGCATGGGCGCCAGGGCATCGTGCCTGGGAACCGCCTCAAGATCCTGGTGGGAATGCATGACAAGAAGCCTGCAGGGCCCGGCCCCGGCTCGCCTGCCCCCTTGGCCCCGCCCCAGCCTGGCCTCCACAACCCAGCTGCCCAGTACACAGCCATGCTGCCTGTTGCTTACTCACCCCAGCCTGACAGTATCTACCTGGTGCCCACCCCCAGCAAGACCCAGCAGGGCCTCTACCAGGCCCCTGGGCCCAGCCCACAGTTCCAGTCTCCCCCGGCCAAGCAGACATCCACGTTCTCAAAGCAGATGCCCCATCACCCATTCCCTAGCCCAGCCCCAGACCTTTACCAGGTGCCTCCAGGGCCTGGCAACTCCACCCAGGACATTTACCAGGTGCCACCTTCTGCTGGGTTAGGGCATGACATCTACCAGGTTCCCCCATCTATGGACGCACGCAGCTGGGAAGGGACAAAGCCACCACCAAAGGTAAGGCCACCTGGTATGGCTAAGCAGCCCTCCAGGTAGGTTTTGCCCAGACCCTGGTTTCTGGGCACAACAGGGCACAGCTCAACACTTTTGGGTGCTCTGGGGCTCCAGCAGTGACTGTGTGTTTATTCTGGGGCTAAGGGAGAGGTGAGTGTTTGGGGAATGTGTTCATTCTGCTGCTGCTGATGGGTGTGAGCAGGCTGGGCCAGCTCAGGGGTGGCCTTGGACCATGAGGTGTACTTCAGCAGACAAACCCCAGTGGGAGGTGAAGCCTAGCATAAGATGAAGCCTGTCAAAGGCCCGGAGGTATGGAAAAGTCTCTGTTCTAGGTGGGCAGGTGAAGTTTAGCTGGTGAAGCCAGAGCAGCAGGCAGGGGACAGACTCCCAGGGGCCTGGTGCCACCTAAGACCCAGATGCTTTTCTGAAGGTGGAGGGTTTTAAGTAGGAGTGACCTTCCCAACCCATGTCCTAGTAAAGTCATTCTGCCCACAGAGTGGAGGGTACAGGGAGCATTGAGGGGCAGGGGGCCCAGGAAAGGACAGGGAGGGTTGGCAGTGTGTTGGGTGGTACTTGAAGGGGAGAAATCGAGCATGGAGTACAGTGCAGCCCAAAACCCAAAAGAGTGGATTGAATGAAAGAAGTGGTTTTTTTCTCGCATGCCTCAGTTTGGAGGCGAGCAGAGCAGGGCTGACCCAGCACCTCTACGCCCATCATGGTCCATGGCTCGTTCCGTCCTGTTGCTGTGACATTGTCAGTGTAGAGCTTGGGTCTCATGGGCTGGGGTGGCTGCCTGGGGTCCTCTGGGGGGATGTGTTGGCCCCTTGGTTGGGGGTAGAGCACATCTTCTGGCTGTCCCTGGCTCCACAGGTGCCCAACCCTTCTCTCTTGGGGCATGTTAGCAGGCTTGTGGGCACCTGCCAGGTGACCTGTTTGTGACTCCTACACAGTGAGACATCGCCTCTGTAGGGTTGCCCTGAGAGACTCTGGTTCAAGCCACTTGTGAGCTGTTGCCAGTGGGATGTTGGGCCAGGGGACAAGGCCCTGTGCCCTGCACCCTCCCCAGTCTGCCTGCCTGAAGGAAGTAGGCGGGACTGAAGAGGGAGGCCAGGCTCCACTGGCTGCTTTGGGCTGAGTCAGGAGCAACATACTCTCACCTTTGGCCTGTGTCTTCCCATGCACACATCCCGTCAGTGGTTGGGGAGTGGAGTTTCCTGAGGCCTGGAAACAGAAGTCCCACAGACTTAGAGGACAGAGCGGACATGGCTGTTCACCCTTTACAGCTCACCCAGGAGGACCCTGAGAAACCTAGCCCCTGCCAATAAGGAGGCCCTCACAGCCTTCCCAGCCCCAGCTTCCCAGCTTGTCCCCCCTCTGAGGGAGACCACAGTGAGCGGTGTGACTCGGAGGCCTGGCGGGAGAGGATGGCGGTGCGCACAGCAGCTGGCCTGTGCCGGGGTCAGCTTCCCTGGGCCCCGGCTCAGCCCTGTGTTTGCACGACATCTAATCCGGGGTCCCCTGTGTCTGGGACAGTAGCCCAGTGGACATTCACTCCACAGCACTGAGCCTCTGTCCTCAGAGCCAGCCCAGGGCTGAGTGGGAGACTTGCCCCTGTGCACCGGGCAGAGCTTAGCAGCCAGGAGTCCTGTCTGGAGGTCACTGGCTGGCTGAAGTGGGGCTCCATGGACACTGACCACCAGGGAACTCTGGTTTACCGCCCCCCCTCCCTCCTCTACCTGCTCCTGAACTGCCTGGCCAGAGGCAGGCCAGTGTGGCAGAAACTAAGCCCAAACTAAGGCTGCGCCCAGGTAGCTTTAGTGGGAGAAGCAGAGCCCTGCCAGGGGAACACTGTCCTGTGGGGAGGTAGCAAAGAGAAGTTCCTCGCTGGGGAGCCTTGGGACAGGCCATAGTTCATCCCCTACACACTCACATTCATACTCACACTCACACACACACGCAGTCCATGCTCTGCTCCCCAGGGAGGCACACCCTTTCCCCCACCCTCTGCTCCCTCCCAAGTCTTTGCAGTCAGTCCTGTCCTCGTGGATCTGTGAGCTGGGCAGGCAGTGGAGGCCCCGTGGGCCAGGAAGCGGCTCTGAGACCGTCGTGCCAGGCTGTGGACTCAAGCCCATGATTTGGTCTTGGTTCTGTTGCCCTCCCACTTGAGGGGCTTGCTCTCAAACTGCCTCTGGGCTCACCTGGCTGGGGCCCAGTTGCCCTCCCCCAAGAAGCCTCATTGCCTGGGCAGCCTCCATTGCATCTAATTTTATTTCATGATCATGAAGCCACGTGGGGTTTGTTTGTCACCAAAAATGCATAGTGTATGAAAAAGACCAGACGGGCCCTGGCCGGTTTGGCCCAGCGGTTAGAGCGTCAGTCTGTGGTCCCAAGAGACCTGGGTTCGGTTCCTGCTAAGGGCATGTACCTCGGTTGCAGTTTGTCCCCGGCCCTGGTTGGGTAGTGCGGGTGGCAGCCACTCGATGTGTCCCTTTCATGTCGATGTTTTTCTCTCTCTCTTCCTCTCTCTTCCTTCCACTCTATGTGAACAAAAAAATGGAAAAATTCCTCGGGTGAGGATTAAAAAAAAAGACCAGACGGGAGATGCCCCAGTCAAGAGGTAGTCACTGGGCCCCACCGGTGTGGCTCACTTGAGCATTGACCCATGCACCAAGAGGTTGCTGGTTCGATTCCTGGTCAGGGCACATGCCCAGGTTGTGGGCTGATCCCCAGTGGGGGGGCATGCAGGAGGCAGCCAGTCGATGTTCTCTCTTATTGATAGATTTTTTTTTTAATTAAAAAAAATTTTTTTTATCCTCGAGGACATTTTTCCATTCTTTATTCAGACAGAGCGGGAGGGAGAGAGAGAGGAAGAGAGAGAGAGAGAAACATTGACGTGAAAGGGACACATCGAGTGGCTGCCACTCGCATGACCAACCAGGGCCGGGGACAAACTGCAACCGAAGTACGTGCCCTTAGCGGGAACCGAACCCGGGTTTCTCTGGACCACAGGCCAACGCTCTAACCTCTGAGCCAAACTGGCCAGAGCTCTCATCGATATTTCTAACTCTCCTTCTCCCTTCCTCTCTCTCTAAAAATCAATAAAGAAAAAAATTTTTTTTAATTAAAAAAAAAAAGTAGTCACTGGGAAATTTTGGCAGGTTTTGTCTAACATACTCTCTATTCATCTTTCACAGATTTGCACACATACTTTTGCATTTGAAATAGTAAATTCAATATCAGAGAGATCTCAAAAGCATGTTGTTGAGTCCCTAAACATGACCGTGACCACTGCCCTGGAATTTGCTCTGTTGTCCCTTCTGTGAGGTGGGTTCTAGGTGATTTCTGATGGTGCGTGTCTCTGACGCACAGTGAGACAGTGGGCATCTTGGTTTGTGCGCATCTGTGCCCACATTTCTTTTTTTAAATCCTCACCCAAGGATATTTTTCAGAGTTGGAGGGAGGGAGAGAGAAAGAAACATCAATGTGAGACATTAATTGGTTGCCTCCCGCACAACCCTGACCAGGGCTGGGGACCGAACCGCAACTGAGGTACATGCTTCTGACTGGAATCGAACCCACAACTCTTCGACCTGTGGGCCAGCGCTCCAACTGCTGAGCTAAACCAGCCAGGGCTGTGCCCACATTTCAAGGTTGTGCTTTCATAAGCCTCATCTTCCCCTTTAGAAGTCTGGGAAACAGGCTCCCAGTTCCCAGGGTAGGGGCTGGCTGGGCTGTGGAGGAATCCTGCCAGGACTTTGGTTAGGGGACTGGGACCCTGGCACCAGGGTGCCCAAGTGCAAGTGAGGCTGGTGGTCAGGAGGGGTCAGATGCCTGGAGCAGAGTGGCTTGAAAGAGGTTGAGGCCATACCAGGACATCAGCACATTTTGGGCAAGGGTATAGCTCTAGGAGGCTGAGAGCAGAAATAGGTAGTAGGTCTCCAAGGGGAGAGGTGTTTCTGTGAGGTCACTCTGGGGGTGCGTCTCTGGGTCAGGGGCGGCAGCTGTGCCTAAGGGAGCAGCTATAGTGCCGGGTCAGGCGCTGGGGAGACATAGCTGAGCTGAGTCCTGTTCCTTCTGGGAGTTGTGTCTCCTCCCAGGCTGGGGCTGGGCCATGGAGGGGGGGGGCAGGAGCAAGGGGACCTGTGTCAGGTATGTCCCTCACTCTCAGTGAGCGGTTAGATGGTTCCAGTATTGCTCCATTTCTCAGAGGAGGAAACAGCTTCTAGATGGGGGTGCAGTGGAGGGGTGCCAAGGCCAGCCCGCCTGGGTCATATGTGAGCAGTGACACTTTTGTAGAAGGGTAGACTGGAAGCTAGGCTGTCTCGAGGTGGTTGGGCCCCGGGCAGACTGGCAGGGGGCCTGTCCTATCTTACTGGGCCTCGGAGGCCATTGGCTTCTTGTCTCATTCCTGCCCTGCAGATGCCCTGATGGGCCCTGCCTGCTGGCTCTGTCTGCCTGTCTTTGGGTGAGCGTCTGGCAGTGGGTATGTGTTTTCTCTGCTTCTGTGTTCCTGTCTCCTCACTGTGAGATGTGTGTGAGAGCGTGTGGGTCTTAGGTTGGGGTCTGTGTGTCCTCCCAGACTCTGGCTGTGTCCCCCACCCCGGGGGCCTCCAGGTCCTGCTAATGGGGCCTCAGGTGCGGAACAGGGTGGCCTGTAATTAGTGGACTCAGCAGCTCTCTGGAGAGTTGGTTTTCCTAATGAGCTTTTCCCCACTGGCGGCTGCTTACTATTTTTTCTACCAGAAACACTTTTGCTGGCCAATATGGCTGCTTACTGTCACCAGCTCAGCCGCAGGAGTGGCAGGCTGCCCAGAGCCCAGGCCTGGGGTCCGGTCCTCAAGCCCATCTGCCTGCGCTGCCTGCCCTCTGTCTTCTGAGGGAGGCTGAGGGGCCTGGGTGCACGTCCCTCTTCATGAGGCCAGCAGGGCCCGGAGACCCCTCAGGCCTCGCCTCTAGGCCCCGCCAACCTGCCACGTCCCACCAGCTCCCTCCCGCCTGCCCTGCTGTTGGCAGGAGCTGGTGTCTAAAAATAGCTCTGGAGGAGACTCAAGTCTGGAGCTCAAGGAGGGAGATGAGTCTGGGGAGGGCCGCCAACTGCACTCCCAGACACGCTGGGGTGGAGGGTGGTGGGCGGGGATACCCCATGGAGGCACACCCCAACAGCTAACGGAGCCGGAGCCGGAGCCGGAGCCGGAGCCCAGGGGAGGCGGCAGGGGATGTGTGAGCAGGAGGCGCTGCCAGGCGCTGGGCTGATGAGAAAAGTGCTGGTGACTTTGCTTCTGGGGAGACATTCGCTTCTGGGGAGACATTCGCTGAGACTGGCGGCTGCCGTGGGGGCTGGGCACAAGCCTGGACACGGGATTCTGGGGCTGTTGAGCCTGAGGGCCGGCCCTGCCTCAGCCCTGCTGCCCCCAGGGATGTGTGTGGGGAGGGCCCGAGTCAGCCCTGTCCCAGATGTCCCCTTTGATTAGGGAACAAAAGGGCTTTCTGTCTAGCAGAGCAGAGCAGGGACCCTTGTGGGGGAGGTGTGCCCTGAGCTGGCTTAGGAGATCCTGCCAGCCTCTGCCGTAGGGCTGACCCCACAGGCTGACCCGCCCACAGGGCCAGAGGGCCTGCAGGAAGAAGGCTGAAGGCTGCCTGCCCAGCGCTGCCTGCCAGGCCGCGTGTGACATGAAGGGCTGTGGGCAGCTCACAGCGCCGGGTCCGGGGCCAGGGGAGGGGCGCCAGGGAGGGGAAGGGGCTGGCCTCCTCTCCGGGCCGATGCTGTCTGTTCCGGTGAGTGGTGGTCTCAGGGCCCTGTGGGAGTGGGGGTGGGGATCTCGGTCCTAGTCTTGGCCACTGCCTCAGACTCCATCTGCCTCAGAACTGGCCCTGAGGTCCGGGAGTCCCTACTGGCCCCGTCCTCGGGGGCTTCCTCAAGATGTGAGGGCAGGGGGTGTACTTGCTGCCCTGCCAGGCCACCTCCTCTAGGCCCAGCCTGAGGAGGGCACAGCCTGGTACCACCATTTATTTATCCTGGGTCTGAAAGGTGGCCGCTGGATTCTGCAGTCAGGACAGCCCTCGCTGGCAGCCTTTCTGAGGAGGGTACAGCTGGGCGGTGTCATGAGGCAGACACCCCACTCAAGGGTGGCCCATCCTGTCAGCCTGTAATCACCCTCTTCTGAGACTTTCTGGGTCATGCAGCTCTAGAGACCACCTCCTTTTCCTGGCTAGAGCCAACATTCTGAACAAACTTGGGGGCCCTAGTATTCCCAAGTATTACATTTCATTGAAGAAAGGGCAGAGGATGCCCTTGCCTCTGAGTGGCCTCTGAACCCACCTTGGTGTGCCTTGGCCACCACACAGGGGAGTAGATTCTGCATGAGGACCCAAGGGTCCAGGGCTGTTGGTGACAGTCAACCGTCTGCCCTAGGTGGTGGTGCCCACCCGTGTGGGGCAGGGCTATGTATTCGAAGCCTCTCAGCCAGAACAGGATGAATATGACATCCCACGACACCTGCTGGGTTCAGGGCCCCAGGACATCTACGATGTGCCCCCTGTTCGAGGACTGCTTCCCAGCCAGTACAGCCAGGAGGTAGGTGTCGGGACTGGGTGAGGGTGACGTGCACTGGCCCTGCTCGGAGGAGCTGGGCTTTCTCGGCCCTGGCCAGGATAGGGTGGTCCTGGGGTGGGGGCTCTGGACTTTCTGCTCTTTCCATCCCCTCAGGAGGCCCTGGCACCTGAATCACTGCACGTTCTCTGCCCCCAGGTATATGACACACCTCCCATGGCTGTCAAGGGTCCCAGTAGCTGGGACCCATCGCTGGATGTGTATGACGTGCCCCCCAGTGTGGAGAAGAGCCTGCCACCATCCAGCCACCATGTGGTGAGCAGTCAGGGATGCTGGGGCCTCACGGGCTGAGTCTTGGCCGATCTCAGGGTTCTGAGCGTGACTATGAATGTGTGCACTGGGGTGGGGACATCGAGAGACCTGACTCGAGACCCAGACTTTGCCCTCACTGGCTCTGTGACGGGCGCTTCTCTGAGCCTCAGCTTCCTTGTCTGTAAAAGGGTCCCTTGGAGGCCCTTCTTCAGGGTGTGTGAGAGGAACACACTGTATCAGCAAGATGACCACAGAACTTATCATCCAAACATTCTAGAGCAAAAGGGGGTGACTAATAATTATGAGGGGCATCAGGCACAAACCAGGACTGTCCCAGACAAACGAGGGTGTCGTCACCCTGACTATAATACACAAATAGCTCAGCCAAGTACCTGCCACAGAGTAGAGAATACAGAAGCAGCGGTGGTGGTGGTTTGGTGGTGTGGTGGTTTGGTGGTGTAGTGGTGGTGGTGGTGATAGTGGTAATAGTGGTGTGATAGCTGATCTCCCACTGAGTGGTTGAAAATTACATTACCCTCACAACAAATCTGCAAGGGCCTTTTCCCATCACAGGTGAGCAGACAGGCACAGAGAGGTTGAGTCACCTGCCTTAGGTCACACAGCTAGTAAGCAGTGGAGCCAGGATCTTGAGCTCAGGTCTGGCTCCAGAGTTGGGCTCTTAACCATAACCTATGTGGATGAGAAGCATGATGAACATGTGTACCGTGCTGTCTGTATGTGGCTGGTCCTGTCCCTCGGCTCCCAGGTGGGCCGTGGGCAGGCAGCCTTGACCACCCTTTGGCCCCGCAGGTATATGATGTTCCTCCATCGGTGAGCAAGGACGTCCCTGATGGCCCACTACTGCGTGAAGAAACCTATGACGTGCCCCCTGCCTTTGCCAAGGCCAAGCCCTTTGACCCAACCCGCCACCCGCTGGTCCTTGCTGCACCCCCCCCAGACTCGTCGCCCGCCGAGGATGTGTATGACGTGCCACCCCCAGCTCCCGATCTCTATGATGTGCCCCCTGGCTTGCGGCGGCCTGGCCCTGGCGCCCTCTACGATGTGCCCCGTGAGCGGATTCTGCCTCCTGAGGTGGATGATGGTGTGTACGTGGTGCCCCCCTCAGCCGAGCGAGAGGCCCCGGCTGATGCCAAGCGGTTGTCTGCCTCCAGCACAGGCAGCACTCGCAGCAGCCAGTCAGCCTCCTCCCTGGAGGCGCCGGTGCCGGGCCGCGAGCCCCTGGAGCTGGAGGTGGCCGTGGAAGCCCTGACCCGGCTGCAGCAGGGCGTGAGCACCACTGTGGCTCACCTCTTGGACATCGCGGGCAGTGCTGGCCGGAGTGGGGGCTGGTGCAGCACCACGGAGCCTCAGGAGCCCCTGGCACAGGACCTTCAGGCTGCTGTAGCTGCTGTCCAGGGGGCAGTTCACGAGCTGCTGGAGTTTGCCCGCAGTGCTGTGGGCAACGCTGCCTACACTTCTGACCGCACACTGAACGCCAAGCTTAGCCGGCAACTGCAGAAGATGGAGGACGTGTACCAGACATTGGTGACGCATGGTCAGACCTTTGACAGTAGCCGGGGAGGCCCCAGCGCCACTCCTGAAGACCTGGACCGCCTGGTGGCCTGCTCACGGGCTGTACCCGAGGATGCCAAGCAGCTGGCCTCCTTCTTGCATGGCAATGCCTCGTTGCTCTTCAGACGGACCAAGGCCCCTGTCTCAGGGCCCGAGGGGAGTGGTCCCCTGCATCCCAACCCCACCGACAAGGCCAGCAGCATTCAGTCCCGGCCCCTGCCCTCACCCCCCAAGTTCACCTCCCAGGACTCACCAGATGGGCAGTATGAGAACAGTGAGGGGGGCTGGATGGAGGATTACGATTATGTCCACCTGCAGGTGGGTGCCCTCCCTGCCCAGGTTCCCTGGCCCCGGGGAAGCCCCCTGGTCCTCTTTGAGCTCTGATGTTCGGGCCCCTGGAGGGCCTCGGTGAGTCCCTGTGCCCTCCTCGCACGCTGACCTTCCAGGCCAGGTGGCCCCCAGAAGCCCATTTCTCTCCCACCTCAGGCCTTTGGGCCAGTGAGTCCTTGTCATCAGAGTCCTGCAGTGCCGGCCAGGAAGGGCTTCCAAGCACCTTGCAGGGGTTGGGCTTCTCTGGTGACCAGGGCACAGGTGGCTCTTCTGTTTGGAGACATGGATTCTGAAGTATAAGCAAAAAGATATGTCCAGGCAAGAGGGAATAAGCAAGGTGATGGGAAGGTAGGGTAGGGGTGGTCCTCTGAGCAGGGACCTGGATGACAGCTGAGTGGCTCAGCATTCCAGGCTGAGAGCCAGCAGGTGTCAAGGCCCAGGGGTCAGAGACAAATGGGCAAGCCCTGTTTACCTAGGGGATGGGCATGGATGTGATTGCTGGCACTGGAACCAGGGCAGGGAGGATGGCCATGCTACATGGAGTGTGCCCAACCCCTTCCTGTGCTGGCCAGACATGGAGGAGGCCCAGGAGAACTGCTGCTCCAGCAAGCTGCCCCCACCTTGGGCCTGGTGGCCTCCGTGTGAGCCTGGGTGCAGTGTGCAGTGCCACCTGGTGGCCGCTCATCTTACTGCACCCCACCTGGGCTGTGGGGCTTCTGGCTCAGCCCAGTCCTTGTGTCTCCCTTCCAGGGGAAGGAAGAGTTTGAGAAGACTCAGAAGGAGCTGTTGGAAAAGGGCAACATCATGCGGCAGGGGAAGGGCCAGCTAGAGCTGCAGCAGGTGAGGACTCTCGGGTTCACCAGCTTCTTCCAGCACATGCTTCTTATCTGTCAGTGAAGCCAGTCATCCCTCAGAGCCAGTCTCCGGAGCTGAGCCTCCCTGGGCCCCAGCCCAGCCAGTCCCCACTCACTGCATCGCTGTCTCCTTCATTCATTTGTTGGGTTGATGTTGTCAGAGTAATCGTGGTAGATGTTTTAGAGTGCACATACAGAAAAGCAGAAAAAAAAGAAAAAAGAAGCCACTTACCCAAAGGAGTGTTTAACATGATGCTTTGTGAATAGTTATGTTTGCTTAAAAAAAATTTTTTTTTCTTTATTGATTTGAGAGAGAGAGATAGAAACATTGATGAGAGAGGACATCGATTGGCTGCCTCCTGCATGCCCCACACTGGGGATCAAGCCCACAACCTGAGCATATGTTGTGACCGGAAATTGAACTGGTGACCTCTTGGCGCATGGGTCGACGCTCAACCACTGAGCCACACCGGCCAGGCTTTACATCTGCTTTTATCTCATTTACATCTGCTTTTATCTTATTTCCATGGCATTAAACATACCTATGAATTATTTTTAAAGGCCACATAACATCTATTGTTGAACATTTACATTGTACCCAATTTTTCTTTATAAATAGTGTATCTGCAAACATAGAATTTCCTTCATATTTTGGATCATTTGAAAAAGTTTCAAAGCCAAGGGAACCTGGCTGGTGTGGCTCAGTGGATTGAGCATTGTCCTTGGACTGAGAGGTCCCAGTTCCATTCCCGGTCAGGACACATACCTAGATTGCGAGTTGTTTTGTTTTGTTTTATTTTTAACCCTCATCCAAGGATATTTTTCCATGGATTTTCAGATAGAGTGAGGAGGGGGTGGAGAGAAATATCCTTGTGAGAGAGACACATCGATTGGCTGCCTCCCGCTGGACCCCAACCAGGACGGGGGATTGAATCGCAACCGAGGTACATGCCCTTGATGGGAATCAAACCCGCAACTCTGGTCCGCAGGCTGATGCTCCAACTGTTGAGCCAAACTGGCCAAGGCCCAGATTTCGGGTTTGATCCCTAGTAAGCGGCCTGCAGGAGGCAGCCAGCCGATGGATGTTTCTCTCTCCCATCGATGTTTCTTTCTCTCCCTTCCTCTCTCTTTAAAAACTCAATAAAAACCTATTTCTTAAAAAGGGGAGGGGTTTATTCTGTTTATGAAGGTACTAAAAATTAAAATACAGACTGGCTCAAAATAAGCACAAGTATCCATAAGCTCTTCCTCAGTCCACCTTCCCGGGCGTGGGGAGCCTGCCAGCTCCTCTCTGAGACCAGAATAATACGTACATTTTTTAAAGCTACAGTTTCCCCAGCTATAAAGTGGGGATTATAGTTTTATCCATCTCAGGGCTGATATGAAAATTTCGAGTAAAACAAAAGTACAGCGATTAGAAGGTTCCTGGCACATAGAACATGCTCAGTAAAGGAATACATGCTAATAATTTTATGTGTAATATAGGAAATCTCTACTAATTTAAGAAATGACACATACTGTATTCTCTTTGTTTCCTCTGGACTCTACCAATATTTATTTAACCAGTTCCCTGTTGATGGACAGTTAGGTCGTTCCCAGCATTACTTTTGTAAACAGTGCTGTGCTGAATATAATTCTCTTCACATATCTGATTGATCACTTAGAGAAATTACTGGAAGCTAGAATAAAAGGTAGGAATATGCAGGAAAAATTCTAAAGATCTAGAGTTCAGAGGCCGGGAACATAACGTTCAGGTAAAATATAGCTACGTAAAATGTATTGATAAGGATATTTATTGCTCCACTTCTCTATCAGTGAAAAATCTGGAACCCCTCCCCCCAACAGTCTAATAGTAGAGTATTGGCTGCACAAAGTATGAATATTCATATGGTAGACTATTATGTAGCTATTAAGAGTTGTCAGAGGCCCTGGCCTGTGGGCTGTGTTTGGAGCATCAGCCCAAGCACTGACGGGTCTCAGGTTCGATTCCCGGTCAAGGGCACTGTACCTGGGTTGCAGGTTCCAGTTGGGGCATATGTGGGAGGCAGCCAATTGATGTGTCTCTCTCACACCTAGTTTCTCTCTCCATTCCTCCACTCTCTCTAAAAATCAATGGAAAAATATCCTTGGGTGAAGATTAACAAGAAAAAAGAAAAAAAAAAGGTGATAAAATATTATATATGGTGTTTCCAGTTTTCTAATTAAAAAGGAAATTTATGATCAATGGAAGTGTCTTGAAGAATATTCATCAATATTTTGTGTGAATTTTTGTTTTCTGAAATTTTATAAATACCATGGCCTTTCTTTTGTTTAACATGTTTATTATGGCCGAGCCGGTGTTGCTCAGTGGTTGAGCGTTGACCCAGGCACCAAGAGGTCACCAGTTCGATTCCTGGTCAGGGCATTTGCACAGGTTGTGGGCCGAGTCCCCAGTTGGGGGCGTGCAGGAGGCGGCCAGTCGATGTTCGCTCTCATCGATGTTTCTGTCTCTCTCCCTCTCCCTTCCTCACTCTCTAAAATCAATAAAGGAAAACAATGTTTTTAATGTCTATTATGAAAAATGTAATACATTTATACAATTAAAGAAAATAGTCCTTCTGGTCCTATTCACCCAGCCTCTCCGCCTTTCTTGGCACAGCAGCTAACCCTGTTTGTCTGGCTTCTCTCACCCCCAGATCATGTAGAAGACTTTATATCATTTTATCTGCAAATACTTTAGTGTGTAGTTCTAAAAGATAATTTCCCAGAATTTTAACATTATTTTGGATGCATGGGATTCCAGGTGATGGCTACCTTTTTTTATGCTTGGTGTATTTAAATTTTTTTATGTTGTATATGTTAAGAAGAACATTTTTTTTTTTTTTTTTTTATCCTCACCCGAGGATATTTTTCCATTTTTTGTACAGATAGAGTGGGAGGGAGAGAGAGGAAGGGAGAGAGAGAGAGAAACATTGACGTGAAGGGACACATCGAGTGGCTGCCACCCGCACGACCAACCAGGGCCGGGGACAAACTGCAACCGAAGTACGTGCCCTTAGTGGGAACCGAACCCGGGTCTCTCCGGACCACAGACCGATGCTCTAACCGCTGAGCCAAACTGGCCAGGGCAAGAAGAACATTTTTTTAACTTTTATTTTGAAATATTTATAGATTCACAGGAAGTTCAAAGAACACAGAGCGGTCCTGTGTAGCCTCCCCCCCCCCCCCCAGTTACGTCCTACTAGAGAGAGCACCCAGACCAAGAGGTGAATGCCCCTCGCTCGGGCAGCTGTTCGTCTGTTCTCCGTTTCTGTCATTCTGTCATTTAAAATGTTATGTAAATGGAATCATAAGTGAGGGTGGTGAAAGTCATTTGGAGACTCTCTAGATTCTAGCGTCCAGAACAACGAAGGTCCCTGCGAAGGACACGTACTCCGTCAGCAGGGCAGCAGCCTGCTCCCCGCTGCTGCTGACTCCGAGCACTGTCCCGTCTACCCTTCCTGCTCTGTGTCTGCCGTTTCACGTTGCTGTCCTTCTCCCCAGCTGAAGCAGTTTGAGCGGCTGGAGCAGGAGGTGTCACGGCCCATAGACCACGACCTGACCAACTGGACGCAGGCGCAGCCCCTGGCCCCAGGGCGGACAGGCAGCCTGGGGCCCTCGGACCGGCAGCTGCTGCTCTTCTACCTGGAGCAGTGCGAGGCGAACCTGACCACGCTCACCAACGCGGTGGACGCCTTCTTCACCGCTGTGGCCACCAACCAGCCGCCCAAGATCTTTGTGGCACACAGCAAGTTTGTCATCCTCAGTGCCCATAAGCTGGTGTTCATCGGGGACACGCTCTCACGGCAGGCCAAGGCCGCTGACGTCCGCAGCCAGGTGACCCACTACAGCAATTTGCTGTGCAGCCTCCTGCGTGGCATCGTGGCCACCACCAAGGCCGCCGCCCTGCAGTACCCATCGCCCACTGCTGCCCAGGACATGGTGGACAGGGTCAAGGAGCTGGGCCACAGCACCCAGCAGTTCCGCCGGGTCCTCGGCCAGCTGGCAGCCGCCTGAGAATGGATGACCTGAGGGATGGAGGGCAGGGGAGGAGGGCAGCGGTGGGCTAAGCTGCCCCGGGCACCCGCCCCAAGAGAGTCTCAGTGCTGTGGGCATGGGGACAGGCAACCCCAGCTCCACCCCGGCCTGGTGCCCCAGACTGTCCAGGGATGTGTACATGTTTATCACAGGGCAGGATGTGGGCTCAGAGCAGCCCAAGCAGAGCTAGGCCCCCGGAGCCGAGGCCAAGGAGCAGGCTGGGGGCCTTCCCTGAGGGCGCTGCAGGCCTGGCTAGGGTCCGAGCTCTGGGCAGCAGGGCCAGAAGCATGCAGGCTCCTTGACCTACACAGCCTTGGGTGACCCCTAGGGGCTGACCTCAGACCTGTGAGGGTGCTGTGTCCCTCCCAGGGGTCGGTGTAGCTGTGGTGTGTTCCTTCTTAACACCAGAAGAAAACCCTAAAAAAACTATTTTTCATTATTGATTTTCCAATCATTTGACTAATAGTCTACATTTAAATAAAATTTTAAAAAATGAAAAGCAGTCTCCTGAGGTGTGAGAGGCAAGAGGACCCTTGGGTGGGAAGGCAGGTGTGTCCTCATCGTGGACGCCCAGGGCAGGGGTGGGTTGAGGGGACCTGTGGTGGGGCCGTGAATAGCCTCTTTTTTATTAATTTTTTTTTTTTTATCCTCACCTGAGGACATTTTTCTATTTTTTATTCAGATAGAGTGGGAAGGAGAGAGAGAGAGAAACATCGATGTGAAAGGGACACATCGAGTGGCCTCTACCCGCATGACCCAACCTGGGCCGGGGACAAACTGCAGCCAAGGTACGTCGTGCCCTTAGCGGGAACCGAACCCGAGTCTCTGTGGACTGCAGGCCAACGCTCTAACCGCTGAGCCAAACCGGCCAGGGCCATGGATAGCCTCTTGGAGGGTGAGGGTCCCGGCAGAAGAAAACCAAGGCTCTGGGAAACAACTGAGCTAAGATGAGGCCAGGTAGCTCCTGCAAGGTGGGGGTGAGGTTTGCGAATGGATGCGAGACCTTGGGAGTCAGGGGTGCACCCAGTCTGCCATGAAGTCTAGGCTGGGAGTCAGATGTCCTGGCCTGGCTCGGGGTTCTGGAGTCGGGCCTGGCCTGCCCAGGCTGCGCTCTCCCACCTGGTTCTTCAACAGAACAGGAGACGGGAGAGGGCCTTGGTTCCCTCATCAACCACTGAGGCTCCAGTGTCTCCAGTGTGGGCCTGGGAGAGGCAGCCAGGGGGCTGCTCCTGGGAGGGTTGCTGGAGCCAACAGTGCATAGGGCCACCAGCAGGCCGTCCTCTGGACGCCGCTCCCCGTGCCAGGCCCAAGCACGTTGAGCAGGGCGTGGTGGTGAGGACCCCACAGCCCAGGTGGGAGCTGGTGGCTAAGGTCCCATTCGTCTGCCTGTGCCCTTCCTGGCTACTTTCTGGGGAGGTGGACTAAGGAAGGGCCCTCCCAGGGGCCGCTGGCGGAGTGAAGGCCCAGGTTCAGGAGCAGAATGGGGCCTCAGGCCCTGACACAGGAGACAGGTAACATCGGTGTTTTTCACAGGTTTATTGAGGCCTTGTGGGAACAGGGGTGCAGGGAGTCCAGGACAGGGCCAGGGCTCAGTTGTTGGCCAGGATCTGCCGCACCCAGGGCATGAGCTTTGTGACTCGAGCGTATACGCCAGGGCTGGAGGTGGAGCAGGTGCCGCTGCCCCAGGACACGATGCCAACCAGGTTCCAGGCGCCATCCTTCTGGCAGACCAGGGGGCCGCCGGAGTCTCCCTGAAGAAAGAGAAGGGAGCTTGGACCTGGCAGCCTAGGGGGCCGGGGGCGAGGCCCCTGGTGTTGATCCCAGAGCCCAGCCCAGGGCCTGACCGCCAGCAGACCCAGCACCAGTGGACCGGAAGGGGTACGACCGAAACCTGAGCCGCTCCCTCTGGTCTGTGCCAGGGAAGTCTGGGCCACCGCGGGGGTGAGATCCTGTACCCGGCTCAGCAAAGCTGGTGCGATGGGAGGGGAGCGTGGTGGGCAGGGTTGGGGCCACTGTGAGGAGGGCTGCTCTGGAGCCTGCTGGGCCTCCAGGTCCCGCTGCCCAGGCTGTGCCCTGCTCTGCGCCAGGAGGTGCCGGTGCTCAGATGCCGACATTTCGCATTGTGGGGGCTCCAAGACCAGAGCCCCTGCTGTGCACTCCCGCCGAGGCCAGCGGCCACCCTCCAGGGGCCTGCTCCCCAGCTCCTGGGGTGGGACTGCCCAGGGAGGAAGGAGCCTGCCTGCCAGTTCGTTCCCTCTGCCCAAGCCCCTGGCCTGGGCCTGCGCCTGCGCCCACCCCAGGCTGGGAGGGGGGTGCAGAGCCCGCCCAGGAAGCCGTACCATGCAGGAGGAGACACCGCTGGCGCCGGCGCAGACCATGAGGTCGGTGATCTTGTTGCCCCAGAACTTCTTGCAGCTGGTGTTGGACAGGAGGGGCAGGGCCGCCTGTTGTAGCTTGTCAGGGGTGTTGGCATCTGGAAGGGCAGGGTGTGAAGTCAGCAACTGCACCCTGCCCTGCCCTGGGCGTCCACCCGCTGGGCGTCCACCCGCTGCCCGCCCACCGAGGTCACTCACTGCTGTGCTTGGTCAGGCCCCAGCCGGTGGTGGCGCACAGGGTGCCGGCGGGGAAGTCATCAGCCTCGTCGGGCAGGCACACGGCAGACACGGTCTCGGAGAAGCGGGCAGGTGTGGCCAGCTTCAGCAGGGTGATGTCGTTGTTGATAGTGAACATGTTGAATTTGGGGTTCTTGAAAACCTGTGTCGGGACAGACAGCCACAGTCAGGGTCTCGGAAGAGTTGCCTCCTCGCCTCCGCCTGCTCCCTGAGCAGGGCCCTGCTCGCCTTGGCAGCTCCTCCCTCGGGCCCTGGAGCTGGAGGTGCAGACTGTCCCTGCCTGGAACCCCTCACACCCTGCTTTCTGCTTTGCCCATCTTGATGGGGTGCTGGGTGACGGGGGGAGCTGGTGCTCCCCTTCACACTCCCCCCAGCCCAGGGGCTTTCAGGCTCCTTGCTCCAACCCAGTTAGCCTGGGCTGCAGCTCCTGAGGGCCCACCCTGCCTGGGGCCACCTGAATTCTGGGCACCATACCTGGGCGATCTTCAACACCTGGATGTCCTCAGCGTCTGAGCCCTGGTCAAACTCCCCGGCCACAACCAGATGGGAGGTTCTGGAGAGACAGGCGGGGATACCTGCCATGAGGTGGTGGGGCCGTGCTGGGGGTGCAGGGTGCTTGTGCGTGAGAGTGAGTGCATGTGTGTGCAGGTATGTGGGCACGTGCGTGTGCGCCCGTCTGTGGAGCTGACCAGAGACGGGAATCAATACCAGCAACTGCCCCTGGAACCACCCAGCCTGCAGCTGCCGAGTGTTTGCTTCCCTGCGACCCTGGGAGACCAGCAAGACTTGAGTTTTCTAGACGTTTCCAGATTAGGAAACAGGAATGGAGTTAAAGGACCAGTCCTCAGTCCAGAGGATCCTCCTCCTACCCCAATGGGTTTCCTGGGGACCCCAGGCCCTCACCTGACGCTGCAGTGGGCGGCAGTGACCACCCAGTCCTCGCTGATGAGGGAGCCCCCGCAGAAATGGAAGCCGGTTTTGTCCTGGAGGAAGGTGGGGAGGTCAGCGCTGGCTCACACCTGCAGTCCCAGCGGGCCCAGCACCCAGTGTGCCCCTCACTCGTGTGCAGAATCCCCCTCACCTGCAGGGACACCTGCCAGGGCCAGGAGCCAGGGACAGCGTCCTCCCCATTGACGATCCTGGACAGGCCGCTCAGCACTGGGTGGATGGCGGGGACACCGCAGCCTGGGGGCGGGGGTACAAGGTGAGGGGCAGAGGCCAAGGTCAACTTTGGGCCCCCCACCCAGGTCCTACCACCCCAGGAATTCCCCAGGGACAACTCAGTCGGCCATGTGCTTTGGCCCAGACAAGCCCAACAGGTTGAGTGTGAGGTGGGCAGGGAGACAGCTCTGTGATTTAAACTCTGCCCCATCACTGCCTGGCTTAACTGCTGAGTCTCTTTTCCCATCAGCAAAACGGGGACCCTCCAGCCGCCAACCTCACAGAGTCGGCCTGAGGATGTGAGATCAGTGAACAGGCAGAGCGGGCAGTCCTGTTCCTGGCACTAGGAAGCCCTCAGCAAACGAGTTTCGAAGGACTGGCTGGGTTCAAGGGCCCGAGAGGGCTGGTGGGGCTGTCTGCCTGCTCACTATTGGAGTCTGTTTGGGAACCACCAGTTCAGAGAACTTTTTGTCCCTCTGGACTTCCCTGTCCCCAGCACAGGGTGTGAAGCCTTGGGCAGCCCTAGTAACAGCCACCTTCTCCCTGGGGCCTCACACTGGCTGGTCTGATCCAGTCTACTCAGCGTCCCCATTGTAGAGACTCGCTCAGGCTCCTGCCCCTGCTGGCCTCAGGCTTGGGGAGACAGCCTTCCCGGCCCCCGCCTGCCCCAGCACTCACCGAAGGCTGTGCCCAGGAGGGCGAAGCAGGAGAGGAACCAGAGGGAGGTCATGGTGGCAGTGTTAGGTGTAGGGCACCTGCCTGGGAGGCTCCCCATTTTATTCCTGTATACCAGGCTGTTATCTGGGGACCTTGAGGTGACAGTCTTTCCTGGGCATGTGCTCGAGTGGGCAGGGTTTAGCAGAGCCAGCCTGCCTGGGACAGCAGCAGCTGCGGCCATGGCTGAGCTTGAGACCAGGGTCAAGGGCAAAGGCAGGACTGGCCAAGGTGGACCTTGACTCGTGGCCAAGGGGGAAATGGGGTGCCATGGCTGTTCTCTTGGGAAGGGGCCTGTGGCAGCAGCCAGACGTGGGCAACATTCTCTCCTGGTCTGGAGGACCTTGGACAAGTAATTTAGTTGGTCTGTTCGTTGTTCAAAAGCCCGCAGGCAGTGTGGTCGAGTGGGGAGAGTGCAGCGACAGATGCAGGTGAGGGACAAGTGGCCAGGGCTGAGGTGCTGCCCTGGGTGTGGGGGATGGGTGGCCAGGAAGACTCAAGTGTAGGCTTGCTTCCATCTCTGTGGGCTCGCTCGGGCTAGCAGCCCGCCTCTGTCCCCACTGACCCAGGCTCCTTCACCCGGCGGCCACGGGTCCCTGGAGGTGAACATGTAACATCCGGGGCAGGACTGGACCCAGGGGCCAGCCTTGGGGCCCCTGCTATGGCCCCAGTGAGAGCTGACAGGCTGAACCAGGCGGGTTTCTGGCTTGGACAATAGGATGAGCAGTGGGGCCCTTTTTCAGCAACTGCAAAACTGGGGAGGGTGAGGCGGCCAGGTACCGGACAAGCCCCCCAAAATGCACAGGGGGAAATAATATGCCGTGGCTGATTCTAATTCTATTGCATTGGTGACTATAGTGTGGTGGGTCACGGTGCAGGTGTCCGCACCAGGCAGCTGTGGGGCCTTGGCAAGTTTCTCACCCTC